TCTGTCTGGCTTTGTTGGGCTGGTTGTTCATATTTCTACTTCTACCAGAAACAAAAGGGAAGACACTGGAACAGGTCGAGGGTCTATTTAAAGGACCGCCCTGCCCTCCTCCTGGATTAAGATCAAGAAAAATTTATGTAGGGTAGATTTAATGATGCACTATTATTTTAAACCTAAAATTTACAATTTAACTTAGACTAATTGAATCGAATCATGACTTGCATGCCATGCCCATTTGGGTGGAGATAAAAGTAAAAAGAAAAAGCACTAGCTAAAAACATGAACGATGTTAAGTGGGTAAAAGGCTCCACTGAAACTGCTGAATACCCTGATGAAGATAAAGTGTTACTGCTATCTTCTGGGGAGAGAGATGGAACAGAAGAGGAGGATGGAGTAGAGCAGACACTCACAGACAACAAGGAAAGTCAACCAATCACTAAATTGACCACTTCCCTAGCCACAGTTACTATCTTCTCCATTATTGGTGGTTTCGTTTTTGGCTACGACACTAGTGTTATTTCTGGTGCTCTCCTGATACTGGATAAGGACTATGACTACACATTAACTTCCCTGCAGAAGGAGCTTGTGGTGAGTGTAACAATAGGAGCTGCAGCACTTGGTGCAGTACTAGGTGGACCAAGTAATGAAATATTGGGTAGAAGACCAACCATTATGATTGCATCCTTCTTATTCACTATTGGTGCTATATTAATGGCTGCCGCTCCTATTAGTGCATGGGGCTGGATCATAATATTAATTGGAAGATTCATAGTTGGCATTGGAATAGGTGAGCTTGTAGTCTCACTGCACAGACTCTCTGCCCTACTGTCATTTGGTCCACCCAAGCCAAATGATTGTATGTGAGGGCCTGGGCAGTGAGACTGAGACTAGTAAGCTTGGGGTGCAGGTTTGTCCTGCACTGTGTATGTAAAATAAAAATGATAATCTATATTATATAGGTCTGACTAGCATGACGGTTCCCATGTATCTAGCTGAATGCTCCCCTTCCAGTTATAGGGGGAAAATCACTGTGCTTAGCAATGCAGCTGTCACTGGTGGACAGTTTGTGGCCGGCTTGATTGACTTTGGATTCAGCTATGTCAATCAAGGATGGAGATACATGCTGGGAATCACTGCAGTTCCTTCACTTATGAATCTTATTGCCTTCATATTTTTACCAGAGAGTCCAAGATGGCTGGTAGGAAAGGGAAAAAAAGAGAAAGCAAGGCTTGTACTTGCAAAAGTCAGTGACAACTATGCATGGTGGATTGTGTATTAGAAAATTGGGGGTGATTTTGGCAGAGCCATTTTTCAGAAAAAGCATGGGCTATAGTACAGGAAATTTTTCAGAAATTTGCTGACTTTTAAAATGGCCATAACTTGAAACTTTCAAGTCGAAATTAGTTCACAATTTTTCGATAGCATAAGGATATCATTGGTGGCTGTTTATAATTTTTGTATTTCCATGTACAGTTGAGGGGAGGAAAAACAGTTGATCAAGGGTCCATTGCTTATGAGCTTCAGGAGATCACAAATAACCTCCAAGAGGCAGCTAAAGAGAACAACCAAAGTAAGTATATTTGTAAAGATTGCCTGCTATGAACAGAGTGACTTGTATTCTCATGATAGACATATTCCTTAAGGTGTGGACTATGTTAAGGCATCGTCACCTACTAATGGCTCTAATAGTCGGCTGTGGATTGCAAGCTATTCAGCAACTCTCTGGAATTAATACAGTAAATTTAGCAGTACATTTTATTAGCTGGTGTGGTTTGGTTTGACTTGTTGATCGTCAACCTGTTCCGGCTAATACATTATATGATTTATC